TCCTTTCTATCTATTGCATTTCATTTAGATTACACTGAATAATGTACCATACAAACAATTAATCGCTTCTTAAAGCCAAATTTTTCTCTTGGATTATTTTTTTTGTTTGTGTTATTCTTACCTGTAAATGTGGTTCAAGTAAAATATCAAGAAGATCATGAACATTTGCTGATTTATGTTGATAAGAATTTCGTTCAATTAATGTAATAATATCAGAAACAATTTGTACAGCATTTGAGTCGGGAATATTATATGGACGAATTTCATCCGAATTTATACGATCATATAACTATAACAAACCAAAAAGAAAAACATAAAAATAGGTAAAAATCTTTTATTTTTATTTTACTTCAAGTAAAGTTCGTAATTGTTTATCTTCAAATAATTTTTGTAAAAAATCCAGTTCAACACGATCACCAATAGTTAACCATTGAGTATCTTCTAATGAATCGAGAATTTGTGAAACAGCTAAAAATATAATAGAAAAAAAAAGACATTCTTTTTTTCTTTATGAAAAAAGACATTGATATTATGTATCTTTTTTTATATATAAATCACCTGCTTGATTTTTCATAATTATATATAATATTATATTGATAATTTACGAAGAACAATAGAAAAGATAATGATATATATATATATATGTAGCAACTCAGTCAAATAGTATTGAAATAAGGCATATATATATATATGTTGGAATATCTATAGAATAAATAAGTTGACTCGTTTCTGTTTCTAGTCTGTGGCTTGTAGTCACCCCTTAAGAATAAAAACCTTAAGGCTATGCCATAGATAATCACTTTAGATGAAACACGAGAGAACGTGTCGTCTCTATATGCATGAAATGATCCTGGTAATTATAGACAGCAAACGAACAAGTATATGCGTCGTGAATTAAGTCAAGATATATATATATATATATGTATAGATCTTTGATCGTTTGTAATAGTATAAGATAGCAAATAGAACAAACATTGTTTCCATATGCTTTACTATCTTACCGTTAGAAATAATGTTTTCAGAATGTGAATGACTACTACAACGCTGTTGGTGATGATGATGATGATGATGGGAAAGCATGCGCATCTTAAAGCAATTAATCTACTTTATGTGTGTGTGTGTTTGTGTTCCGTCTTCCTTCATTACTTCTTACATTTTCTTTTACATACAACTGACAAAGAAGACAAGAGAATAAGAAATAGAGATAAGAAAGATAGATAGAAAATAGACGATGTAATTTCTCTTTTTCACTCACTCTTCTGTTTATTCATTTTGTATTGATGATTACAAGATGCATGAACACATACACATACGAACATCATCATCATCATCATCATCATCATATACTTTTGCTACAAATTTCAAAGCTTACCGGATGATGCCATATCATCAAAATCATTTGAATTTGTTGTTGCCATATCTTTCAATAAACTGGATGATGGATTTGTTGTTGTCATTATTGGTATTTGTGACCAATGAGGACTTGAGACAGCTGCTAATACTACACCCTATGTAACAATACATATGAAATAGAAGACAATGATAATATAAATAGATTTTTCTGTTTTATAATTACATACAGGCCAATATGTTCTTGGAAAATTTTTATGATAAAAAAGACTCACATGAAATTCTAAGGATATTTTTAAAATAACATTTCATTAAGATAATTCTTAATAATTGCTTTCATTCTTTTTTTTGGCTACTTTTAGACGTATATTTATAGAGAATTTTATAAAGCTAAATATAAATCTATTAAAAAGTTGAAAAAGACTTTTTATTATTGTCGACGACAATTTTTTTCAAGACAATTTTCTAAATGTCTTTAGCAGATGCTTAACTATACCAACTTTAATTTAAAAAAAAAACAATGCTAAGTCTTTCCAGATATTTGAACTTAATAAAAGAACAAAAAAAGCCAATTTCCTCGAATTACAACAGAAAAAAAAATTTACCTTTAATTTACGTCGTGCATTGAATTTACGTAGTTCTTCAACAGTATCAGGTAAATGTTTTCTTAATGCAAATTTTTCACGTTCCTGAATAAAAAAAAAACCAAAATGTTTGATTTTTTCGAACGGTTAAACATGTTATTATATTTGTCAGATAGTATGTATATCCATAGGGGATTATAACAAATCAGATTATCTTAGCAAGATCAATAATCATCTATTTTTTGAAGAAAACAAAGAACAAATATTTTATAGAACATTTTAAAATGTTAAATGGTTATTTATCTTTTCACACATCAACAAATAATATGTGTTAAGTGTTTTTTTTTCACTCATTTACCGTTTCTATAAACACTTCAATATTTATTTGTTGATGGTTAATAAAACAAAGAAAAATTTATAAAAAAAAAAAAACCTAATTGTAGACAAGAGTAAAAAGAAACATAAACACAAACCTACATTAAAGAATATTTTGTTATTAAAAATACGTAAATATTATTTCTCAAATTATTAATGAAAATGTTCATGACATGGAAGATACATAAACATACGGTGTGATATCAAGTTTCAAGCATAATGATATAATAATAAGATATATAAACGATTATAGTAATTATTGCTTTCCATTTTTTTTTCTATTTGCATTTATGAAATACCTCGATATTAACTGAATGTAAAATATGTCCCTTCGCAAAGCTAAATCGTGTTATCAGTTTTACCTTCAGTTTTATATACATATCCACAATATGTAATATATACAAAAAAAAAAAAGAATCTCTCCATGTTTCTATTTCTTTTTCTCATTTCCTCACCATGCAACTCGAATGCTTTTTCCAGAAAACAGATTTGTTCTTTTTTTTCTAAAGATAAAATACTTAAGGTAAAGAATACTCGAGTATCCATTTTTTTGTTTTTATGTTGCTTGTTCTCGAGCATATACATGATAGTCTAAAGTCATGATGAAATTACTAAATATCACTATTTAGATGGTGAAATACTACGATAGTGTTTTTTTTTTCCAACAAAAAAAGAGAAGAAACAACTTTATCTCTCAGCATTGACAAATTCTATTATAATATATAGGTCAAATAGAAGTTCTAAAGACATAAAAAACACATTTTCTTAGAAATATTCTATTAATATAATGTATTCATATAACACAAGGCGACACGCATTAAAAGCATATTTCATGTTGTATGGATAGTATTCATCAAAATTTTACAACTGACATATAGAATGCTATCAGGTAGTTTAATCTAACTATATATATATATATATATATATATCATATCTTTTCGTATATAGTATTCAAATAACACATTAGTAAAAGTACATGAAATATTAAAGCATTTCTAATGTACTATATTATTTAATCAATACAGTCAACAGAACCTCTTTTAGGATTATACTAATATTTTGTATATGTCATTCTGTTGTAATATTTTAAGAATCGTTAGAAATACATAGCAGAATTTTTTTTTTGTGTCATTAATATTCAACGTAGATATATTCACTCAATGAGCTATCGAACATTCGACTTCAAATATTGAGGATTATTTGATGTGTCGTAGAAAGGTTAAAAACATAGATGCAACCGGTTACAGTTACCGATTGGTCCGAACTAGTTTAAATTTTCCACTTTCCTGATCTTTGATTGTATCCATATAAAAAAATAATAAGTGGAACCAAGCCTAATCTCGTTCATCACGCGAAAATTAGTTTAACAAATAGTTTAGAGAACACTTTTAATGAAACTATTGTTGTCAATAGTGAAGTATGATGCTAGTATGCAGCAAGCTATCAATTTAACTCATAACAGTTCACTATAGCGCGAGATTTCGTTTTAAGGGTCGCTCTGTTGCCTGTACATTGATATATTGTTAGTAGACCGGTACCGATCTGTAAAAAGAATTAGATCAATTCCGTCTATAGTCGAAAGAGAAAAATGTCGAATATCGAAAACCCGTGTAGGTACGAAAGAAGAAAATATCCACACCAGTAGAGCCCATCGAGTCTGCGTCAAAAAATTTTTGGACCCGATGGACTCTTCCCACCAAATATTAATCAGTCAGGTTCGAATCCAAAGTTTTGATCGATCGGGTCTGGGTCTGAGAATTCTTGGATCCGATGGGTTCTACCATACCAGAGATGAAAATATTTCAAGTTTTTCAAAATTTAAACCGAATCGAAACTGATATCTGTTTGAAACGCTGCGAACCGAACCGATCTACAGTCGCAAGACTGAAACAATTGCAATTCAACGTCGCACGGACACTCTTGGTGAACGATATTATGATGATCTTATGAAATATTTAGATAGTTTATCATTTGTAGTTGTTCAACGAAAAGAATGACACTTTGTAAATTTTTGTGTGTATGATTTCTATTAAAATGTTAGTATTTTCCCATACAATAAAAAAATTGAAAAATTACAACTTTTTGTTTTTTTATAAGGAAAAAAGAGAATTATTAATTGGATACATTTTGTATTACATTATTGAAGGTTTCTTTTATTATCTCTTGATTCAAATCATATAAGATATTTTTTGAATTATTTCGAATTCTAATATTTTGATTAAGCATATGAAATATTTTCTTTTAACTTACTCGAATCCATGGATGTATAAGTGCTTCTTTAATTGTTATTCTTTCATTTTGATTTACACATAATAATCGAGTAACAAGATCTTTAGCTGATTCAGATATTTGTTCCCATTGTTTAGTTTTCGTCTAAAAAATTTAATAAATTATTATAATATTAATAACTTTGTATTTTTTTTTTCTTAAGTAAAAAACTTACATTATAAACACCTTTTGTAATCATATCAAAAACTCGATTTCTTGTACCAGCAAATGGTAATGTACCAGTTAAAAGAACATATAACATAACACCTAATGCCCACATATCAACCGGACGACCAAAACCTGGTGATTCTTTATTAACAACTTCCGGTGCCATAAATGCCGGAGTACCAATACGACTAGCTTGAATTAAACCAGATTCTGGTAATTGTAATGCAACACCAAAACCACCTAATTTAACTGGTGCTGCATTTTCTTTTGATGATAATAACACACAATGAGGTTTTAAATCGCGATGAATTATACCACGATCATGAATGTAACGAACGGCTTCAAATATTTGACGCATATAATGACTATAAATTCATTGAAATATTTCAAATGAAAAGATAATATCTAATATTTACCTAGCTACAGCCTCGCTGTATACAAAACCAGCAAGAGCACGTTTTTCAATTTCAAAACATAAATCAGAACCATCCATACTAAAAATAAAATTGATCATTCTAATAGATAAATTAAATTAGATAAATATATACTATTCAAAAACCATAAAAAGACATCCTTCTGATTCAAATGTTTCATATAATTCGACAATATGTGAATGTTTAAGACTTGAGCATATAGTTGCTTCACGTCGTAAATCTAAATGTAAAAGATAAGACAATTTTTTTATTACCATGAAAAAACAATACGTGTTTTACCATCAGCAGAAAATCCTGGTGTTGATGTAAATTGTTCAACATCAATAATTTTAACAGCATATTGTTTATTATCGTTTTTATTTGTACAACGACGAACTACACTAAATGGTCCTCTATACAACAACAACAAAAAATAATAATAAATGATCATTTATTAAATAATCCACATACTTTCCAATAATTTCATGAAGATTATATAAATCAGTAAAAGATGTTGATACTTGTTCATTATTATCAGCTATTGTCGTAGTTGTTTCTATATGCATGATAACAATCGATGAAACAACATCAATAGATGCTTATTATCGATAAAAAACAAAAAAACATATATATATATATATATATATATATATACTAAAGATTCAAGAATACCATCAACTATGAACAAATAATAATAAAAATGATATGTCAATATTAACTATAGTCCTGAATGAATAATGAATAGGAATATGACATAAAGACATACTAGCCTATACTAAAGAAAATGGCTAATCAGGCTAATTTAATTGTATTCCATATCCATTCTAACAGGACGAGTTCGAATATGAGAAGATGAAATAACAATAATTAGCTTTAGCCAAATAGAAGACGAGCAAGAAAAAGATCGAGATAGATATAATATGTAGAGAAAAGGAGAAGACAAAAAAATAAAAGTAAACAAACAACAAGAAACAGAACAAATTATTGATTGATCTACTGACAATTGCGTCGGATTCGTCTATCATTCAGCCATTATTTATCCATATATTAGATGAGAGAATTTTGTTTTTTTGAGAGCTGGCTCGTTTATCAAGTTTTATCGATATACGTTGTTGCCAATGATAGTATAGATAAGATTTATGAAAAAATAAGATAAGAGTTAGTTTGAAAAAAAACAATTAACAGATGACACTAGATGCTGTTGTATTATGATAAATGATTTTCATGAAGTTGACATTAATATATGTGAGTTTAAGTTAAAATCACGTCATATGAAATCAACTTAGTTGATGTCATTGGTAGTTAAATCTTTATGAATATACATTACGTGATATATAAGATGTTCAAATAGTTCCCGGATTGATTTCATTTTGAAAACAACAGGAAGTGCTGCTGTGTCAGTATCATTACTTGTGTGTGTAATTCATGCAGCTGTAAGTTTTGCTTAATTAACCTATGAAAATATAAGATATATTATAGAACCTCCTCTCCACACATGAACAGTATATTAAAAATTTGAGTAAAGTTTTATGCTTTAAAAGGTTAGTTGCCATATAATATTTACGAATATATGTTAATAATACTGCGATATATGAATAGACTCATCGTTTCAAAAACTGATACCTAACTATTGATAATGGTTCCAGATATAGTCAATACGTTGTTGACATCATATTAGAGAATGTAACATTTTCATGGTTTGATTTAGGTTATATGTAACTTATTATTTAAAATACAAACAATATCTGTTATTTCTCGACTGCAATTCGACGATCTAATTTTTAAAATTTGTCATTTTGATGTAATTTGTATCACAATTATTATCAATATATAAGAATCATCTATGTTTAAAATAAACATTCCATTCAGATGTTATAGTGAAGGCTAGAAGATCGATCATTATACGTTCATTATCAATATTAGAGATGAAGCATGTCTTCCCGGAACAAGAAATTTTTAAATATATATTTAATTAAGCAGAGCTGGTGATATCTATGGATGGAGAATTGTATTAACTCTACACTAACAAAAATACACATTGAGTATTGCTGTTTGTTGTTTTGAAATAAAATCAATCCGAGAACTTTTTAAACGTCTCATGTATAGCACAAGAAAGTGACCCACAGTTCAAGTCGATTCTCCATAGGTATCTGCTATCTCTGTAAAGATATCAAAAACTTTCCTAGACACTTCCTTTCCAATTTTAATGCTTTTTTTTATTGATATTAGATAAAGTTTAGTAGTGGCCTGTTTCCGTGAGTTCTGACCTCCTGAAAGGATATGAGTGTGAGCTTCGGTTCTCTTTACACACACACAGTCATGCCCACACCAAAATCATTGAAATCGGAAGGAAACATTTAGGAAAATTTCCTTGTATGTATAAAGTAGAAGATAAATTCTTCAATCTATACTCAGATGATAACTTTCACAAAAGAAAATTCTTTTTTTCAAATAAAATGAAATTTCTCTGTTACATTTAGCTTGAGAATATTAAAATAAGTTTTTGACTAGTATTGTTTCTTTATTTTTAAATTTTGTTTCTATTATTACGATTTATATAACATTTGACAGTAGTATGTATTCATATGTTACAAATGACTTAATATGAATCCGATCAAAGCAAATTAAAAATTTGTCTCGTCCTCTTAGCAATATGATACACATGACCTATATTCATATGATTAATGATTTACGATTCTTCATTATGTATTAGTTATTTACCTATATTCTTCAGGTGACTGTCTCTACGTTTTGATTAACAATTGATAATATTTTTGTTTTTTCTCATTCATATGATGAGTATATTGTACGACACGAATATGATGAGTACGAGTATTCAATGATTTTTGCAATTACAAAATGAAAAGAAAACAAAGAATATTATTTGAAAGCCTAACGTTTTATGCATATGACATGTCATTCCATATTTATAAGGTCGTCAATTCTTTTTTAGCGAGGTAGGTTCAAATGAACAATATATTTGTCTGTCTATCATCTTCTCTTTAGATTTCAATCTGATGAGTTTTTAGTTAATCACGAACAATAGACGAGATGAAATATTTGTCTTTTTAGTAGAAAAAAAAAAACATCATCTTTCATTACTAATTATTAGCTAAATTAAGAACATTTGTAACTTGTAGTCATGATATTTTTATCATACTGATGTTATTTCGTTTGTAGTTTTTATTCAATGTTGTCAGTCAAACGTAAAAGACACATTTTTGACAATAGCTGAATCATTACTAATGATGTTCTTCTCTTGATATCAATGTTATAAATGATATTTCATATTTATGAAATAGATTCTCAAGAAAAAGTTCACTCCGTTTTTTTCTTAATATCGCTCATATCCTCATTGTTTATTATTTTCCACATATATATATATACACCCTGCTCTATAAAAAATATATGCAATCTTTGACTTAAACATTCTTATATCTACATCGAGAAAAAAAAACGTACACTACCTAGAGGCTATCGGATCCGAACCCATTGAGCTCTAGTCGTCTGAGAAACAAAAAGAATCGGAAAAGAGTATATCGTATCTTCGAAACGACTGTTCAATTCCGATTAGAAAATTTCATTGAGAATATCAAAATGCGATTCGACTGGGTCGAGATTCTAACGTCGACTGATCTAGGAGCAGTTGATCGGTTAGTTCATATCAGTATATGTAATTGTTGATGTGAAATATTTTACATTAAATTATATTAGATTTATTATTTCTATGATAATATATTTTAAATAGCAATTAGATTGAAACTATTCTATAATAATGTTTTATAATGTTCAATTAGTTATTAGTAGAGTTGATTATTTGATGACGCTAGTTCACTTTTCTGATTATATAAAAACCCATCTAAGTGCGACATCCTTCGCTTAATGTTTGATATAAGCGACACTCAAAAACAAGAAATTGATAGTTTGAAAATATAATAATAATGTTTATCAATGATTTTTCTTTTTTTCTTTTCAATTTTTTTTAAATATTAATTCATTAATCTAAGATCTTTTCGTTATTATTAATTTTGAACAACAACAACATCATAATAACACACAAACAAATATCTACGCAGTAGTCATTCGTTCGGCGGCCGACGGTGTCTATATATATATATATATATATTCTCGTCAATGATCACATGTTTTGTTATGTTCCTTTCACGATAGAATTTTTTTTCTTCGTCAATGGTCAGCTGATCTCTCTATTGGATTATGTGTACTATAAAACACAATTTGTATAAGGAAAAAGAAAAAGATAGAACGACGTCATTTGCTAAATAATGACGTGATAATATATAATTCACATTCTATTAATTTTCAAGGTCGTCAAAATTCTTTTACTTTTTATTTTCTTTTTTTTCAGACTCATTCATAGTTCAAAGTATTTTTAATTTACCATTTTATTCATTAAAACAATGTGTTCACCATCACCAGGTAAACGTCGAATAGATACAGATGTTATTAAACTGTAAGTTGTTAGTTACCAAACATTTTTCTTTTTGAGAAAAATGTTTTCTTTTCTTTTTTTTTAATATTTTTTTTTAGTATTGAATCGAAACATCAAGTAACACTTATGTCAGGTCTTAATGAATTTATGGTCAAATTTGCTGGTCCACGCGAAAGTAAATTTTTTAATAAACACTTTTCTTTTCATTGAAATTTTTTTTTTTTTCATTTTCTATAGCTCCTTATGAAGGTGGAGTATGGAATATTCGAGTTGATCTACCCGAGAAATATCCATTTAAATCGCCATCAATCGGTATGTACATAGACTTAACAAAAATATGTAGATCAAAAAAACATATCTAAGTTAGATTGTGTTTTCTACTTTTTGAAAACTTAAACGATAGGAATAAATATGACTTTTATTGTAAAACATAATGAATTATAATTTATAGGCTTTATGAATCGAATCTTTCATCCAAATATCGACGAAATGTAAGTAAAATAGGTTTTTTTCGTTTTAAATTTAAATTTATTTTCAAAATAAATAGGTCCGGTACTGTTTGTCTTGATGTAATCAATCAAACATGGACGCCAATGTATGGTATGTAGGAATATATTTTCTTTAAATATATATATATATATATTATTAATTTAATTATTCTTCTATAGATCTTGCCAATATTTTTGAATCATTTCTTCCGCAATTACTTGCTTATCCAAATCCAGTGGATCCGTTAAATGGTGATGCTGCTGCTCTATATCTTCACAAACCTGAAGATTATAAGAAAAAAGTTAGAGGTTTGTATCTATTAAAAAATAATTATAATAACAATGTTTATTTTATTTTATTTTTTTCTTCTAGAATATGTTCAACGGTTTGCTACTGCTGATATGGCTGATAGTTTATCATCATCCATAAATGGCCAATCATCATTGAATAATAATTCAAATCAAACGAATGGTTCAAATAGTTCGAATCATACAAATAAAAATGAATCGGACGATGAAGTATTGAGTGATTTTAGTGAAGATGAAACGGCCAATATGGATTTGGAATAGAACATGTGTCGTGGATATTCGTTCTAATTATTTTTCTGTTTTTTTTTGCAGTATATAC